TGATTTAATCTGTTTTATGATCCTGCTAATATTTTCTTGAGAAGATACCACAAAATCAAAAACAGAATTACTTATCATGTTGGATGGAAAGTAAATAAGGTATATTTGTTAATAATTTGTGAATCTTGTAAATTTGGTGGTAATGATGGCTTAGTTCTTGACATGATATTTATTCTTTTTAAACGCTTCCAGATCGTAGCAGCATCTTCAGAGGTAACAAATTTTAAATACGCAGCTATAAGATTGGCTTAAGGGTAAAGTTTATCTAGACACTTCAGTAATATTTTACAATAGTCTAAAAACGAGAAGCATTCTAGGGTAAGATACTTGTAGCATAATCTGGTAATAATTTTTGACCATATATATTTATATACATATATATATATATATATATATATATATATATATATATATATATATATATATATATATATATATATATATATATATATATATATATATATATATATATATATATATATATATATATATATATATATATATATATATATATATATATATATATTAATGACACTATCGTTTTTTATTTGGCACACAGTGTACCTTGAAGGGCTGTAACGGCATCACTTGTGCTCTACCCAGTAACCGCAAAGAAATTTTTTTTTCAAAAAATATGACGTTTTCTGTCTTAGTTGCTCACAGTCTACCATATACATTTTTGAGAGAATATATGGCAATATATGTTTTTACTGTTATTTTTCGGAATAATTCTAAATGGATGTTAGTTAATCTGTTAGACGATAAATATTATATATATATATATATATATATATATATATATATATATATATATATATATATATATATATATATATATATATATATATATATATATATATATATATATATATATATATATATATATATATATATATATATATATATATATATATATATATATATATATATATATGATGACACTATATTCCGGGATATCATCCGTTCGCTTGGTCCGACTGGAATCCGCCGTACATAATAGATCTGTCAAGACACTGCCTGAAATTGGATTTTACCACAAATCTCAAACACAAATAAATTATTTAAAATTTAAGTTTTGAAAATATGTTTGAACGTGGTGCCAGCAAGCAAGCATCTTTAGAAGAAACGGCCACATTGACGAAAATTCCAACATCACCTGTATGGAAAATTGTGAATAATCCCATTTTAGCGAGGAAAAAAAGAAGCGATGCTGACATTTTCTCGAGTGTAGATGAAAGTGATCAAGATATAATACGGCGTAAAATTTACCAGTTATACGAGGAACAAAGCGTGCCTATATTAGGTATCTTAATTAAGAGGCTTGAAAAAGATGAAACCGGTGTTAAATGTAGCAGAACTACCTTATGGAAGTGTATTTAAACACATGGCTTTTAGATTTAAAAAAATTGACAAAAGGCAAGTTTTAATGGAATCTTTTAGAATTCGGAAATGGCGACTGGAATATCTAGAAAAAATTGAGATTAACAGAGAACAACAAAGGACACTTATTTACTTGGATGAAATCTGGTTCGACACTTATGATACCCCGGAAAACGGTTGGGTTGACTCAACTGATAAGTGTAAAACAAACGCGCCATCAACAAGAGGTAAAAGAATAACAATTTTGCATGCTGGCTTTAAAGATGGTTGGATTAAAAATGGACTTTCTCTGTCTGCGAAAAATATTAAATATTCTTCTCTGGATTACCATGAAGACACCACCGCTGATTTATGTGAAAGTTGGTTTAAAAACAAACTAGTTCCAACCATTCTTCTTAATAGCGTCATTGTAATGGACATTTATTTTCACGAGGATTATACCAAAAAGCAATTAATTGAGGTTCTACAAAGCTTGAACCTACAAAAGGAATACGTATGTGATAATTGTGCAAAAAATCTAGGGCATACAGTTTTAAGGCTTCCGCCTTACTATTGTATATTTAATCCCATTGAACATGTTTGGCACCAACTGAAATCTGCCATTCGTCGTGACAATGTTTTTCCCCGTGTTAACTCCAAAGTCCTCAAACTTATAGGAACCGAAGTTTTTAACATCCCTCCACAAAGTTGAGCAAATTCTGTTAAACATATAGAAAAAGCAGAACAATCGTATATCCATTTTGCAAATAATATAGAACAAATAATAATTAGAACAGGCGATGACAGTGATAGCGATACTGATATATTAAGTGAATAATTTTAAGTAATTTAAGTAGCTAATAGAAGTAATTTGTAATTTTATTTTAGATTTAAACATAAATACATACATAAATAAATAAATATTGTTTAGTATCTTTCCTAACAAAACCACAAATAATTAAATTCTAAGCAAAGTACGGACCTGTTCGGCCATATTTCATTCTTACAGTTTGCCCGGGTCTTTCCTTAATTCGTATCCGTTAATCACTTTCTTATATCTATGAACAGACTTTACCTTATAAACTAATTCGTTCTAAATGAGAGGATTTCCTTTTAGGCAACCGCTATTTGGGTAAACACGTGTTTATTTATTGCCTTTTTATTTGCTACACAATTTTGTGAAACATAACTTCAAATCCAGTTAAAGGGACGTACCTGGGTAACGCAGAATATGATGGTTACGTTATGACGATGAAAATTTGTTTGGTTGGGAAAGTTTAGAGCGAGAACTGGGGGCCGAAGATTATAAAGCGGGGTCGTAAAAGTTGCGAACGGGGCCCCGCCGTTGATTATCTCGAAACTTTTGCCCTAATTGGGTCAAAGCTTTTAACCCCGGATGCGTTTGAAAAGATATTGTTTGAAAGTCCCGAATATACACCAGGTTAGTGGCAAATTGCCAGATATGTTTAAATTATTTTTTGTGAGGCATTAGAGAGTACTTTAATTTTCGTATATACTGCACCTAGCTGAAACATTTAAAGAAAATATCTATTTATGTACTACGAATGCACACAAAAAAATGTTTTACTATAATTCAGCTTATTTTTTTTAGATTTCGTTTTATGCATTTTACCTTAATGTATTTATCATTATCTATTAATAAACAAAAACCTACTAGCTTCTGATAGATTAGTAGCCACTTTAAGATATAAAATGAAGGATTCCGCTACATGTCCCAGTAGTAGCTTTGTTGTGTGGTACGTGTATATCCTGTGTGTATACATGTATATATCTTTAAAGTTATAATCAATTTTTCAATTACATTTAAAAAAAGTTTTTAGCGAAACACATTTTTAAATTTGACTTTCTAATAAGTATCGGCCAAAATTAAAACATCTAATGAAGATGACTGGAAAATAAATATCTACCTATTTTTAGTACGAGCATCTCTAGAGCGTTTGCTATGCTGTTTATCAGTTGATTTATTTTTTAATTTTTTTATATTATTAACAGAATAGTCAATAATCGAAATAAGAAGAAAAAAGACGTAAAACCCATAATTTTGAAGGATTAGGTTTGGGAGATATATTATGCAGCAAAAACCAAATCTCTGCTCACTTACTTGTTGGTTTCTAGAGGAACTTTCCAAGTTCTGAACTAGATAGTTAAACAGCGGCTTTTAAGAGACGAAAGAAGTAAATCCATAAACATAGTCAACAAACATTCAAAGTACTTGATCATAAAGGTTGAATTTGTATTTTTGTGATTTGGGATTACTTGCTTGCCTTTATGAACTGTTTTAGTTTAGAACTTCGATATTTCATTCATGGATTTTCTTTAGGGAGTTTAATTGGGTCTGATTGTTTAAAAAATTCTAGACATAATAACTTTTATTTCGAGTTAACAAAACTTAGTATTCATAAGTAAAACTATCTCTATGTGTGTATAAATATAGAAATACTTTACTAAGATGGTGAAGCATCAAGCTCTAAGTTGCTCAGTTATATCACCTATATACAGGGTGTCGCATAAGTAATAATACATTTCAAAATAGGAGATTCTTTAGGTAAAAATATTACGATGTATAGAAACTTTCCTTAGTTCAACAGATGATATTAACGGGAGTATCAAAGTTGCAATTTCATTTTCGATTTTTTTAAATAATTAGTGAAATAAGAGTTTTTTACACAAAATTTTGCAAATCGGAGCAAATTGTAGCCTTTGATCCTTCCTGACTTTTTTGCGCCTTAGTGTATACTGATTTTTAATAAAGATATCAATTCTTACATCTGTTTTACACAAAAATTTCGCCTTTTTCGAGAAATTTGACTTTGAAATTTTTAGTACGCAATATTCAAAATTTGAATTTTTTATGCCATCGATTTTAGAATAACTGAGATAATGCATATAATTGAGCTAATATAGCAGCGTTTTTAATAGTATTTATTTTGAGATTTTTACAAGAGATACAAATAGAAACTTCGATGTCGATGAAACCAATTTTACGGAAATACAATTTTAATTTTAAACTAAAGCAAAATACAAAAACTATTAATTAAAAAAGGTTACTACTGGGCAATAAATCTTTAAAATGATTTCAAATTTTGTGCAAAGGGGATGATTATTTTAGAAAAAAATGAAATTACAACTTTGACATCCTGTATCTCGGTTAATATAAACTTCCGGAGTAAAGTAGATCGTAATATTTTTACATAAGAGTTTCTTTTGCCATGTACAATTACTTTTTCATCTCTGCCTCTTGCAGCTTTATTTCTTGCATTTTTTTCATTCTTAATTATGAATTAGAATGAAATTATAAAAAAAAAATGAAATTGCAACTTTGACATCCTGTATCTTGGTTGATATCAACTTCCGGAGTAAAGTAAATCGTAATATTTTTACATAAAGAGGAAATCCCTTTGCCGTATACGGTCACTTTTCTCTTTCTGTCTCTTGAAGTTTTATTGGTTGCATTTTTTTATTTTTAATTATTATGAAATTATTTAAGTTGGTTCCTATTTATGAACACACACCAAAGAGCAAACTTCTTGACTGAACTTGACCTGATAAAAAGATATGTTTATTTTATTTTATTTTCGGCCGTCACACACGCGCGTGTTTTTTCAACATTTCTCACCTACCACTTGTCTCTGCTGAGCCGCCCCCTGATCCGATCGGCCGCCTTTCGGCGGTTTGCCCAGCGGCTGTCCCGGCATCCCTTCGCCGGGCATCCTGGTGGCCAGGATTTCTCGCAGTTCCCGCAGGAACGCCCCAAAAAACGGCACGACAGGACACTCGGCCATGGCGAGGGCCCTGCTGAGGGCTCGTTCGTATTCGACGGAAAGCAACGCGGCGGACAGGAAGTTGAGGACCGGCAGGGTGTCCTTTTCGGTGATGGACAGCCAGAACGGCTTGAGCTTGTTCGATCTGCGTTAGATAAACATAATAATTTTCACATAACATATAAGGCATGCCAATAGACAGATGCAGAATCCAATAGTGCCCTTAGATTTTGTCTATTATATCTAGTCTTTGAGATATTACGATATTAGAGTATCTCTATATAAGCTCTATATAAGCAACTTTTTTTAGTTCAACTGTCCTGTATAAGCAACTTATTTTTTTAAAGCTAAATATTTTTGTTTAAGGCCAAATTTAGAAGTAAAAATTGCTGTTCACGACAACATAACCCCAAATTATGTTTTAGCAGATATTGAAATTATGGAGTGGGCAAGTGGAACAAGATTGCTTTCGAAAAATGGTGGGTGGGTGGGGCAAGTTCGTAGCGCCTAGCTAGAAGCAGATTTTTATTTTAAAAAGAAAGAGCTTCCTGGTTTCTTGTGGTAAAGGGATGCATCGTTTTTTATTGTGCATACACCTTGTAGAAAGCGTTTTTTACTTATCGCCGAAATTCAAAGTCACAACAAACTTTGATAAATATAAAAAAATGTACAAGTAATAACGATTACCAATTATATTATTCCAAGTATTTCGCGCACCCTGTATGATAGACGAAACTATCTCTCTCTCTTTCTATCTATCTATCTCTCCCCCACCCTCTCTCTCTCTCACTCTCTCTCTCTCTCTCTCGACACAATATTCGAGACTGTTTAAACCAAATTATCCCATGTTTTATACTTTTTCAATTACAGCTAATAATTCATCCACGAAAATGGCAGTTTTCGGGGTCTTTTAATATTTTTTGACCATAATCGACACACCCTGTACAAGAATTTTTCTATAATAGTAAATCGTTTTCGAGAAAATAAGTTTTTTCTGAAACCATGCAATGCGTCGCAATAATCAATGACGTCATCGCTCCCGGAATAGTGATTTTCATATGGATTTTTTCAATTACAAAAATTATTAACATTAACCATATTTTTTACGATTTTTGAGTTGCGGTTAATAGTTTACTCTGGAAAAGAACAATTTTCAAAGTCTTTAGATTTTTGCCTATAATTTAAAAACCCGGTATATAATCGAAAAAATAGGCGTCTGCCAGTTAAAGAATTTTGCCGATCGGATGAAAGGTTATGGAGAAAAAAATGTTTTTCTGGAAGCCAAAATTACCAAAAAAAAAAATCAAAACTAAAAAAATATACTTTTCGGTTCTTAATTGCGCTCGACTTTAACTTAAAATTTGAAGCGTGTAACTCAAACCGTTTGGAATTTATCGTCGAAATCCCTGGAACAGAGAACGGAGAACAGACAGACAAAAATAAAAACGTTTTTTTTCGATTCTGATTCAATCTGTACTGGTACTGTACGATGCACCGTTATCGAGATCTTGAGTTTAGTGAGGAGCGCGTATACTTTCGAAAAGAATCGATTTCATCGATTCTTCGAAAGTAACAAGCGAAGCAAGTCATTAATTTAACCTTGACGAAAATTGTGAAGTAGGAAGTGAAACTGCTGCTGTTGAAGAATATGAAAAAACGTCAGATGGCAAAGTCTTTGAATTTGGTGTTCCAAAAAATAAGAAAAAACTGTCATGAATAAATATATGTAATTGTCTTTGTTCTGGCAATTAGTGCTATACTAAACCAAAAAATTAATAAAATTTGATTGTTTAATTTTGATTTAAAAGAAATCATTAATAACTACGCTTATATAATAAAAATAATAATAAAATGTTTTTTTTTGTGCAAAGTAAAATTGCATTTATCTATTCTACGCCGTTTAGTAAGTAAACGAAATAAGTAAAAATATTTTGCAGGCGATTAATATTTTTCTACTCCTTTTTTCGAATTCACTGCATATCCATTTGCGCAAATTGCGTAATTAATTTTTTATCGAAACTTATTTAAATCTAAGCTAACCTAAGCATCTAATTTTAAGTAGGAAGTTTTTATTCTGACCATTAAGTATATGTTTTTTTCAAGGTTGATGGTGCGTTTGCGGTGAAAGAAATACTGGATTGTTCTGAAAATTTGGTTAGATAAACGCTGCGATGTTGCCGTTTCCTCGAAAAAGTAGAAGCACCATTGAAAGTTTAAATGGAACACCATGTATTTTATTGCACTTTCCGATTCGCTAAATTTGATGATTATGATTGTTTTGAATAATACGTTCCTATACCTATCTTTAGTGGTTTTGGAAAAAAACAAACATAGGTTTAATTAAATGTCTATTACTACGACACTGGAGCCAGTAGAAAATTGAAAATTTTGCACATAGCTTAGGGTATCATCCAACAGCATTTCTAAATATCGAAATTAGTTCTATATGATACAGGGTGGATGCGAGATAAAAAAATGGTAAAAAGTGCATTTTTTGAATGAATGAACACTTTTGGTCTGTCAGAAATCCGCATGCCACAAAAGAAATCATTTCAAATGAAATTTAGTTTAAATACGTTTTGCTAGTTAAAAGATAATAAAGTAAAATTTTTTAATTTGGGATGAAGCATTTAATGCTGAAAAATATCTTGAAATCATAGTGATAAATGTTTTTCTGGAAAATCTTAGCCTTCAAGAACTTCGGACATCTTGGTCTGCACTGAAGAGGTGTTACAAGAATTATACGAATTGTTTAATGACCGTTTGGAGCTATGAGTGTTGCCGGTAAGATCGCCTGATCTGAAGCCATTAGAATTATACCTAGGGTGTGCGTTAAAGTCACGCGTCTACTTGACACCAGTGCAGAGAAAGAGTTACAATATCTGGTTGTACGATGCTTCGAACAAATAATAAGAGATAAAGAAAACTAGAACCATCAGTCCACTTCAACGGATTTTGGAGTGTGTGTACAATTGGATTATTTTTTTGTGTGCAATCGTGTACCTAATATGTATTTTGTTAGTGTAAATAGTTTTTAAAATGCTTTTCGTAAAATGCTTTGTAAGGCTATTCTTAATTCCAATAAGTGTATTCTTGTTCTTGTGTTGTAAATCAGGATTAGTTTCATTATGTTTTCTGCAAGTTCTGGCTATAATGTTTTTGCATTGTCCATGCATAATAACCAAATTCATTAAAACAGCATTAAAATACTGGTTTCTTTCTATTTTCAAAGGATTTTATCGATAAAATTTGCACCACAATCAATATTGAGTAGATCTTTATTGATTTGTCAAATGGTAAATCATTTATTTAATATAGGACGTATATTTCAGATTAAAAGATGAATTATGCCAAGGCAATCGCGTTTTTAAGGAAACTTGCTTTTATTTCAGAAACCGAACGATTTGCTTATAGGGAAAAAAGAAATTTAATTCTCTCTTAATAATAATAAATATAATATAGGAATTTTTGTATATCGTAGACAAATCATTAGTTTGGACCAACCCTGTATAATATAGAACTAAGGTTTAGTACCTTCCAAAATTTTGACTTTGTACTGACTCCAGTGTCGCAGAAATAAAAATTTAGTTGAAGAAAAATAAAGAAAATAATTAATTAATAATAATAACGTATTATTCAAAAACAATGATTGACAATGACCTATTAGCGTATCGGAAAATGCATTAATAAACATGGCGTCCCATTTAAAATTTCAATGTTGAAGTAGCATTCTCCGTAAACGTTTAAGGTACTATCAACTGCGAAACACAATATACAGTAATTTGCAAACTATTCTAGGACGCCATTGGCTTTTTGTAGGTTGCTTATTAAAAGCTTCATTTTCTAAAATTTTACTAGTAATTTAAAGTTTTAGCAAATTTTTATTAATAATAATAATATAAGTATATGTTTGTATGTGTATAGGTATGTTTGTATAAGTTTGGGGTTTTTCGCTATAATTGTAACGCGTAAATGGTAAATTAGAGAGATGGGAAAATAAAAAAATAATATTATCAGAGTATCTAATTATATAATAGTCGCGTTAAATTATTGTTATGAATCTATAAAAGATATACCAACTAAATTATTATATTAGGTACAAAAGTAGTGTGCAATTCTAATTTCCAACACCAAAAACCCCATAGCTTGGTTTCCATGCCAATGGCACACTGGCATAGGAGAAGAATTTTGACCTCTAATGTTTAATTTCATGTATGAGTCACAAAGACACACGTTCTTTACGATGAATGCTCTAAATACTTCTAAAAACTCACTTATTTGTATTATAATATACCAACGTTGTCGTTTCTTTACTTAAACAAGACGTTTTGTTCAAACTTTCATTTGGATTAAAAAAAAAACACGTTCCTCGTTCTTAAGTGCTTTTTGTCAGCTTATCCCATAACACACTGAACTCTCCTCAATTTCAGTTTCAACTGGGACCTATTAAAATTAACAAAAAACAACCTCTCTATAACAATGCCGTAAGCAAATTAATTAGTAACTTGGGCTCAACTAATTTAAGTAATCAAAGTAGCTAATATTTTGCGAGGACTCGAAATTCAAGTTAATTCTAGCCAACGAAGCTGAACTTTGTTTTAACTTCTTTTTTGAGGAATTTTCCTCCTTTCAATTATCCGAAAGCTTTGTGCCGAAAGTTTAAAGTTACTAAAGTTTGTGCTAACATTGATTTCCTACGGATTACGCTTCAGATCGAACTACACTTGAAAGATTATCATCGTTTCAAAACGCACAGCTTAGTGAAAACACCGAATGCTTGCTATTTGAGCAATATAAAAAAGAAAAAATAAATAAAAAATCTTATCTACCAAGATACGTGCGAAAATATCTATTATCTCTCTTCAATCAAGAAAACATTTCTTCCAGCGATATTATGTTCAACATTCTCTGACTTCTTTTATATGGATGATATTTCCAATATAAATTTCGAAATCTTACCAAATTGCATTGACCTGCTGAAAACTAGGTTTACTTCATTGATTCAAGCTTTTATGGCTATTAAGGATCTTTGCAGGGTGTGGTCGAGTGCTTTGAAGCGGAGCTGCACAGTGTTCTAACACAGTGCGATTTGTTTAAAGCATTCGACTGCATATAATCATTATATCATTGCTGTCACCCCCAGTG